CCCTAAGCCCTAAACCTCAACCCTAAGCCCTAAACCCTAAACTCTACCCTAAACCCTAAACACTAAACCCTGTTGCTTTTGTTGACTTGGAAAGGCTTCATCAAGCAGGCTGGGACATCACTGGCTGTTTCCTAACTCAATGGTAAAATCATTTTCAGGGGGTCCAGATTATGAACCAACTATCTTTGACATTTTGGGATATCAATGAAGTCATTGGTCCTTGTCAACCAATTGGAGCTTCCTGATATCCAAAATTCTCCATCCTTGCCAGCCAGTGTTGTGGTCCCTCACTTGTTTTTCAAAATCCTAGGTCTAAACTCACCAGCTTTCAAAATAGGGTGCCACTCTCACAAGACAACAGCTCTTTATGAGCCAGGGGCAGTGGAGCCATTGCTCCCTTCTGGCCCCTGGTCTCTTTTTGATTGTGAATGAGATTTCAGGATCAGAAGTCATAAGCCTTAAACTCGAAATATAAGCAATTGGACTTCGCCCTGCACAACAGACTCTCCGCCTCTGCGTGTGCCATGTCGGGGTACGTCATGCAGCATGGTTATAGCAAATAGATGACTCCCCACTCGTGCTTTCTTCCTCCCAGCTACAGATTAACACCGGCATGGTCTGAGCCCAACGCCTCGGCGTGGGCAAGGCTGCGGATGCACACACGCTTCAGCGTCAACACCGAAAATTGTACGATTTGGTGGAAGGCCGTTGAATCTCGTATCGTGCTGGATGGAGCATGGGACAAGGGAATTTGGTTGTCCACTTGTGTTTGCTTCCTCCCTGCCTGCTGATTGCTGATTCGCAGCAGGAGTGCAAATCATGCGGTCATGTCCCACTGAAACTCTTCGACCGAGGATCACCACTGGCTTCAATTCGCGGCATATCCACTGAACAGACCTGCGCCGGTGATATTCTCTCCAGCCTGCACACGCGCGCAAGAGATCATGTCGCGAGATCACGCAGAAGGGGAGCTCAAGAACTTGGGCGACAGTTGGTCAGTCGACAGAGGCCTGCAAGGAGGCCTCTGTCGCCGCAGGTCTCGGAGTAGTAGTCGGAATTGGTGTTGCCTTTGACAACATGGCGCAGAGTCTCCAAACATCAAGGAGCTGAATCGACCGACCCCGAGCTCTTCACAATTAAGTCTTGCTGGGCAGTGGGCCTTTACAGATTCGAAGCAAGCAACATCGTCCCGAAGCTGCAACGACTGGCTAGGACGGAATGAATAAGAACCACTGCGAATCGAAGACTTCGTGAACTCCCGAATCCGGAATATTTTGGATTCATCCCTACACGATACCCGGGAAGGATTGTCGAAAGAGCCCTGCAGACTTCGGGAAAGCTGGGCGATGAACCGGTCCTGGACGAATCGCTGACCATGACCGTGTGATGCAATGCGAGGCCATGCGAGGCCCGTCTTTGCTTTCGAACGTTGCAGCTGTGTCGCCCCGGCAAGTGCCACCTTCAAAGCAGACCTTGTCCGCATTGCCTCCCTCCTGTCCTGGGGAAAGTGGGCAGTGGGGCTACGTCTGCCAAGCGTGCACCCCCCTAAACCCTCCCATCGCGCCTGTGACTCTCCGTGTGCCAGCGATGTTGTCGTACTGCACGTGGGCATGCCTCGAGTGTAAAAGCGCTGAGATGCCTAGGCTTTAGCCCATCGTGCTCAACCGGTTTGAGCGCCCGGAACGACCGACCCAACAAGCAAATTGTTCCCAACATGTGGACAGAGCGCACTCTTTCAAAAACCGAGTGGGAATATCTTGACAAACTCAGGGAGCCGCCCTCAACCCCGGACTTTTCACGAAAGAATGCGGTCAGATCGTTTAGTCATCGCACCTCTCGCACCCTCTGGGGTCCTGGCACCTCAACTCGCCGTCGTCTTCGTCTTGTACTGGCACAGATTCAGACGGAGTTGGACGCCACATTGGGTTTTGGAATGCTTTTGAATATGGGTCTTCGCAACCGAATTACATCCTTCCCTGTTTTTGCTTGGTTCATACATACACGACAGGGGCTGTTGCAAAAGAAAATCGTGGTTCAACTGGTGCTTCATCAGAATGCCATTTGCCTGCGCACGCCACACTGATTAGAACTGAGTATACTGCTGCAGAATTTGTTCTAGCTTAATTCTGACAAGTGACTCGCATCCGTCTTTCAAACTCGAATCTATGCGATGGCCACTTGTGCACAGAGCAATGTCCATCGAATCCCACTTGCCAGCAGCCTGGACAATTGCTAGGGGGATCTTTCCCTGCTTACAACCTGCACTCCTCTCTCGGACGTAAGATAAAGCTGAGGAACGCATGTCTTGATAAACTTCATGAACTGTCCCGCAGGGCATAGCTTAGTGTGGTAGGAAAGACGGCGTCGTCGATCTCCCATCAGTTTGAGGTAGTATGCCGTGTCGTAGCCCCCGAAGGTATTACCAGCATACAGCCCCGCAGGCGTCACGGCGACCTGCAGCAACACAGACGGCGCGCTTGGGGGTACGGGTGTTGCCGGCTTCAGCAGACATCGGCATAGTAAAGCAAGCAAACCATTCTCATCACCAACGTCAATGTGGAATTAGTGAGCTCACGCACACCAGCACCATCATCACGACAACCATCAACATCAGCACCATGATCCCCAGAATTACGTCACAATCAACAACAACATCAACACCATCATCACCATCACCATCGAAACCACCATTATCACCCTCAGCCTTAATGAATGTTGGTGTCAACATCACCACCATCACCAGCAGGAGCATCATCAGGAACAGCATCACAATAACAGTAAGCAACCATCGTCATCATGATGATCATCATCAGCAGCATCACCATCATCATGCAACTGTATCGTCACCGTCATCCACACCCCCCGCATGAGCATTCGCCACAGATCATTGATCAGCAGCCTACACACCGAGCGCTGGCATGGGGAGCGACACGTCATCTGATATTCCCATCAAATGGACTAACGCCAAGCGAGATGGTCCGATCGATCGATCATTACTTCTTTCCTGGAGACCCACCACCTGCAGAATTTGGACCTCCCGTTCCCGAGCGAGCAAAACCCGAGCGAGCTGCCCTTTTCATCACAATAAGTCCTCCTCCGCAGAACGAGGATCCCGCACACGCTAATCAGCAGATGAAAACACCAAGCGATCGGACACTTCTTGACGACTGCTCTCGAGCGACACGTACGCACCGTCGCGCGCTTTGGGATGTGCCACCGGAAAGAGCCCCTGGCTGTGCGCCCAGCATGCAAATCGTCGATCCGGGGCAGAGCTGAAGAGTTATTTTGCAAACAACACTGGGAGCTCGATGCCCACACATTTATCCCGGCACCCATCATACGAATTGCACGAAGAGCTCCACCTCGCATGCTGGCAGGATACAGTGCCGGAAGGGCAAGTTGCCCATGACGTCCAGCTGTCTTTATTCCCTTCTCTCCATGCTCCTGAACTGCAAATGCAGAGAGATTCACAGGCGCACCGAGTCCTACAGTGGAGCGTGCAGGCCAGGGCCAAAGCAGGTACCAGCTTTCTGGGGCCTGCACCTTGCTGGATGTTGGCCCCAAGCTTCCCACCTGTGGCCTTGTGCAAGCCCCCACACAGCCGCAGAGACCGAACTTGAGGCATGCTGCGATGCTGGAACGAGGCCTAGAGCAAGGAGAGCCCAAAAGCCAAGAACAAGGCCTGGCAAGTGCCTCCGGTCGTGCTCACTTGCGCACCACCCGATGCAGTGGAAGCACCGAAAGTTGGGACTGCCTCTGAGCGTGCAGGCCCCGCTCCCACTGATGACTAGTACCAGGGAAATCGCGGGTAACTAAGTTTATCAAGTAGCTAGGGTGAGCTGTCTCGCAGGGAGACACTTCTCTCTCACGATGCGAGCCGTGGTCATGAACAAGACTTGAAGAAACTCCAGCATTTCCCGCGCTAACTCCAAGACACTTCACCAAAGGGTAAACCAAATCGTGAATCAGTCAATCAAACATACCTGCGCGTCTTCCTCTGCCCAGCCCACCCCGTAACTCCTCAGACACCATGCTCGTCAGGACGACAGAAGCCCAGGTCCGTGCCTCGCACTTGACCATGGTCTGGCCAGAGGGACAGTTCACGCTCACAATGCATTTGTCCTGCAGAGCTTGCCGGCGCTTGCTGTTAGTACACGCAGGAACCTCTGAAAAGAAACGGCCAACACTCCGAGGGGCAAGAGAACGAAAACAAGAAAGCACCGCAGACAGCAGCACACTTTCAGATTGCTCGCTTCTCGTCGCCCACTTCTTCAAATCCGATCTGCTCATCTTCACGGCCGCAATCACGGCTTGCACACCCGGGCGCAGATTGCACATCCGCTGACCGCTCTTGCAACTTCATGACTCTGCGCACGTAATTTGACAGGAAACGAGACCGCATATCGCAAGCATGGAAAGTGAAACACGCCTGTGCACACGCGGAGCTGCTATAATGCCCGGGCCAGCCCCAGCCATCGGAGTAGTCCCCCACGACTCTGGCTCTGAAACCTGGAGCTGGGCAGGTGCGTTCCTGCAGCTTAAGTTGAGTTGCATGAACGCGAGGGCTTATTGCCGAGGCTCTGATGGTGTAGCGGATCGACTTCACGACGGAAGGCACGTCTTCGAATTTCTCGTGGGAGCAGGCTCTCCTTCTCCTTCTGCAATTTCCGTTGATATTCCATCCCAGCTTGAGGCTGTTGGACACCTCGGTTCTCCCATTCTTTGTGCAAAGTCTGTGGCAGTCCAGGCCCAGGCCTGCGTCCGCTGGTCGAATTGGCAATCTTCGTTTGTGCCCCGCCAGCCATAGACTTAGCACGGCTCACAGCACAGCTCAGCAGTGAACAGGCATCCCTTTTACCAGCAAAGAAGATTGACGTGCATCACAGTTCCTGCGGCAGAGTGTATGATGCCACCTTTCAGAGATAATCAGGGGCCAATGAAAGCCACTTCAGTGTCATTTCCGCTGCAGCTCTTTTACTTGGTCTCTATGTGTTGGCACAACGCAGTAATTGGCGATTCTACCCCACTGCTGTCCCATCCTGCAGAAGACTCGAGCCTCTCACAAAAAAGGTGACGAGGTACACGGAGGCAGAAGGGTCATGTTGGACACTTTAGCCGAGAAGCCAAAGCCAGACTTCCAGCCAACCCTCCCAAATCTCTCGCCACTGTCCACGAAGCGTCGACGGTAGCTCTCATCGGTGTATGCTCGCCGCCTGACTAAAGGCTGTCAACCGGACTCACACTTTTTACAAAACGAAGAGAGACCGCTAGAGTCCGCTAGAGTACACAAAGAGCGTCGTCTCAGTTCGATTCTGCGACTCGGCCTGGCCTGCGGCGGTGCGACGGAGCGCGCACGTGCGGCGGTAGGTCCGTGTTGTCAGTGAAAGTAATCCTTAACAGGAAACATCAAACAGAATCAAACAATACACAGCACTTTTTGAACCTCGCAAACACGGCCTGCGCAAAATCTGGATTCGACGGACTCGACTGTCGGCGACTTGAACATGCAACCGGGCGACTCTGCACGTTGCGTTTGCTCCGAGTCGCTCGCCAAGCAAAGATCATTCCAGCTACGGATCTCAACTGAGTGCCTGCACAGAGGAAACACAACGCAGGCTGTTTACGAGGGAAACAAGCATGTCCAGCACGCGAAGCACCCAGTGTGACGTCTGGACCGCACCGAACTCCGGTCTCCGGACTTCGCCTTTGCAGCCACCATCGTTCTTGCTGCGATGCGCCAACGAAGTCCTCTGCAGTGGTGTCAGTGGCACAATGCCTACGAAGACCACAGAAGGCGCAGAGCTGGTCTAATCTGCAGCTGGCAATGAATGTCCATGAGGCTGTTGGACTTGCTTCCCGGTGTGGTTCGGACGCCTGCAATCACAGAACATGTGATGGTCGGAAGTCCGGAAGCCTCTGGTTGCACAAGCCTCATGAACAGCATTGGCACACCCCGAAAGCAAGACATCTCTGCAACGAAACGATATCCGACGCCAGATTAGCAAGTCGGATGCGACACGAATGCCAAAATGACTCGTTTTGCTTAGAAGAGGAAACTTGGAAGAGACACGGAAGCCAGGAGCACAAAGAGGCAGGAATGGAGCCAAGCCCGAGGCACATGAATACAGTAGAGTACATGCATACGCAACGCATGCATATGTCAACATCCCAGTATGTCTAACTAGCTCCGCACGTATGCTGGCAGACTTACTCAATTCCACGGATCAGTGGAGACTGTATGGATGCATGGACCGAATTACTTGTGATCGAAGGATTTCCGACTTGGAAGGGAGAACGAAGCGCGAGGAAGCGGGAAGAGCTCCTCCGAAACCTCAAGTGAAGATTAAGTATGTGACCGCCACGCTCGACGCCGGCTTAACTTAAACCGCTACAAACCCTCAACCTAGTAACGAGTACCCTGAAAGCCCTGCGATACCCTGCGTCTTTTGCCCGCAAGTACAGCCATGGCACAAGCCACACACTGCAGAGCGGAAAGGCCCGGCCCGCCCTTGGGATCCACCCACTCGCCGTCCTGCGCAGTGTCAGTGACCGCGCCAGCCGCCGGTCTCTGCGGGGAAAGGGGGGCCCTACCTGGCAGATGATGTTCTGTGAAGGCAAGACCTCGACATGGGCGCTCAGCCCATACTTTCGTGGCTGCCGAACTCCAGAGTCTGGAAGAAAAGGACCAAAAGCAAGAGCTGTGCCAAGGATCGTCATTACCATATCGATTCAAGCCTTGGTTACTGGTGACCAGAGAAATTGCCCATGCGCAGCTGAATGGCTCCGCTCAGCACACACAAATTGCATAGCCTTTGTCAACTGTGAATGAGCATTTCACAATGACTGTCAGGCTGCCGGCATAACGATCGTCACAACCTGGCCCAGATGGACATCTAGGGTAGCAGAGCCCTCGATTGCTCAAACAGGCACAGCTCCGTGCCTACGGAAATCATCGATCCAGATTGAAATAATGATGGCAACGGCCGCTTCATTCTTGAAAGCTGCCTTGCTCAGCTAGCTTTGTATAGCGCCGTTACACGAAGTACACACATTGAAAACCACTCTGAAGCTCTCACTGCAAGGCAAGGCCACACGGCATGCTCGGATAAAAGCATGTGCGTACAGTGGCCACACTCTGAGATGCCGTTGCCACCGTGGATCAAAGATGCATCGCACTGGGAGATCAGGTCCTTCGTTGGACTTTCGGTTTTTTGACCAGCACGACTCAACACAACAGATTCTTCTTCAGAACGTCTCGTCTGGAGCAAGCTCATAAAGCCTGTGACCTCTAGCATAACAACCTGATCATCCAAAGTTGGGTCTCAGGCAAACACCATCCACATGCTCCCCTCGTGAAACGCACCTCGAACAGGCAGTGCCCAGAAGTGTCAGCACCATCAGCAAGCCACTTCTCGCGCTTGATGGGTTTGCACCTGATAGCACGTCCCTTCTGGTGCCAGCACATGCTTTGCCGGTCCCAGCGTTGTAGATATGGCAGCAGAATGTCAGGCCACACTGGAGGACCACATTCGGATGAAAACAAGGCACGACTCCGGATCTGCAATGAGACACGCCCTCGTCTTGGCAACACCGAACAGCTCGCCATGGCTGTTCACCTCCTGTACCAAGCTTCCGCAAGAGCTGTACAGCCGACACACAGTTACCTGAGATCAGCCAGTGCAAAATCCGTGCCAAGTACATGAGATGTGCATGTTCTCACTGCAGCTCAAAGTTCAAAGCTAAGCGACGTCGGTATAAGAGCCCGTGAAGTAGAAGGCACATGCTTCCGTGGCGGTATCGTAATCTCCGCTTCGGCAGGCTGTCTCACATCCTGCCAGCTCTCCAAGACTCTGGAGAGAGGAAGGCCCTGATGTCACAAACTTCAGATGCCACTCTAGGCCCTGACCGATCAAGGCATGAGCGGTCCTGTTGCGCCAACCCCAACCTGCCAATGTTCAGTTTCGTTTCCATCGATGCAAACACCGTCGTCTTGAATGCGAGAACTTGTGCTGACGCCCGATCTGCCGGCTCGAAATTGCAATGTACCGTGGACAGGTTGACTTCTTACAGCTGCTTGCTTCCAGGACACCAACGACAGCATCAAGTATTGTGGTTCGCACGAATGGCTTCCAGAGACCTATGCAGCACGCAGCGGTGTGCATCAAGAAGCATGAAAAAAGACCAGTGACTGGAAAGACTGTAGTCAACTGGCCATAGTTCCTCGAAGTGTTTTCGGACTGGGACCATTGGCCATGGCAGCAACGGGGCAAAGCTACTCCAAACACTGGCATGCCTAGTCAGCTCTTGGAACCATGGTCTCAGTGGCCCGTCAAGGGCTGACAAGTGCAATCACAGCTTTACTGTCAGTCAGGGAACCAGCAACGTGCTCGGGGGAACGAAGTCATTATCACTGCCTGGTGGCATCCTCAGTGCTCTATGTCGTGATGCGACAATTCACAGCAAGTGCACGGCAATGCGTTGGTCTGACGCTTCTGCCTTGCTTGCAACCATTTTCAATAACACGTCAGACCGCACAACAACAGGCTGCAAGTTGGGACCGTAAGCCAATTAACCTATCCCTGGTGTTCAAGAGCGCTCTCTTTCGCGTTCTCCCTTCAGACGGCGATGATTATGGCGAACCACAACAATGTAGCTCCAAGGCTCATGGAAAAGGTTGTTTCCGTAACTGGTGGATTTGCTCCAAATGCTCCGCTGAAGCATTCGCCTTAGGCAGGGAGTCTTCCGACTACACACAGGCGCCTCCTCTGCCCTGACAACAAACAGTCTGCAGTTCCTTCGCCTCTGCATCGCGTTTCGCACATACGGTGCACGAAATGCAGCCAGGCCGTCCGTCTGCTATGACAGCTTCTTCAGACAGAACTGCAGCACGGTGGCATGGGCCGAGCGAGTAGAAGTGCCCAAGGCCACTTGGCGCATCCGGATCCTTGTATCAAGGATGTAAGTTGCAGTGCTAGGCAATCACCAAATATTAGAAGTTGCTCTAAGCACGGCACGTCGAATGTAAACGCCTCCTCCGCAGGTCACGGCTCAGCTCGGAGTTCGGCCCAGAAACTGTAGTTCTGCACACAATTGAACGAAGAACATGTGTTTTAGCTCCTACTGCGCGCAACATCGCGCAACGACGGAAGTGAGGCAGAGTTGGGGAGCTGCGGTGGGGCAGGTGAGCGGACCGAAGCAGTCAGAAGCTCGCAGAGAGACCAGTGTTTCTCCTCCTCTCAATCCTGTCCAAGCTTCCGACTCCCGCTCCGCCTTGGTTCTGCAGGCGCATTGACCGGTTCCGGCGCTCTCCTCCCCCCCCCCGGCTTTTGCCTCTCCTTGCGTCCTTCCCTCTCCGTCCCTTGTTTGTGCGGACGACGCCAAGCGTTTTACATTAGTGAGCTTACAACAATCTCAGCTCCGGCCGGAGAGCATGCGCGTGCTTCGTGATTCATTCCTGCTTGGATGAAGGTTTCTTCGGGAGGACTTACGGTGCAACCAAGATGGGTCAGTCTTGGCTACAAAGTAAGCATCCTGGCATTGATGAACCCAGAGAGCCAAGCAGCTGACGAGCATTAAGCTTCAGGCGCTCGGACATGGAATCGTTGTCGCACAGCCGATCAACTTAGACCTATGGCAAAGACGCCATCACCCTTCCTATGGACTTCATACAGTCTTCAGTCTTCAAAAAAATCAACTAACAGGGAATGCAATGATCGAATCTGCGCGGAGCTCGATTCCATGTCGCACGAAGGAGAACTGTTGAGCAGCGATTTTGGCAGAGTATGCAGCAACAGATGCCCATCGCTACCTCTGAGGGTGGCAGACTCTGACTCCGACCAGATGGCAGCAGTGGGCGTATAAATGACAGCCTCGCTAACCGGGGATGGGCTGTCATGGGCCCGGCTTCGATTGTCCCTGGACCGGATCCATTGTTGAAGCGCCGTTTATCTGTTTAGCTGTCGCAGCGTCACGGTCATAGGGCGACAGGGGGCAAAGGAAGAAAACCCATTTCAGACCAGGTTTTCATAAGTTGTATTTCTCTTGGTTTTTGTTTGCTGGCAACTGTTGGTCACAACAACTGGTAGGTGCTTATTCGCTTTGTCATTGTACGAACAAAGGCACGCCTCCACACCCGCACTGAGCCTCACAATTGAAACGGTGCAACAGACACACAGGAGGGGCTCGGATGTTGCTTTGGGCCTGCGGGCCAAGGTGTTTCTTGATGACACGTTGACCTCTGAAGCTGCGTGTCGAACAGATCTGAAACCACCCAACCGTGAGCACTGCAAGGCAGACTGGCTCCTCACTGGTCAATTCGTCCTTCTCCCCTTTCTTCTTGGTTGCACGCCTTTCTTCCAGCGGATTTGTACACCTGGGCCATGGGTGCAACCATCAATGAACTGGCTCCACCACAGTCATCCTTGATGCCGACACCCAGTGGAAACAAATCTGGGTGCGAAATCATCACACATGCTTTGCTTACAGACTGTGCTTGTTCTTGTGGAGACACATCCGCGCGACTGGCACCATATGTACTTCATCAATTGGTGCTGCCTCATCATGGGAGCTATAAATGTCGCCACGGTGACCTCAACAAACAATCCAGACACGACAGCATCCGCCAGCCTGCGCACGATTCTCCACGTAGCTCGCGTCAAGGATTGTAAGCTGAAAATCCGACTTCACCTCGTCCAACACGGCATCTCCGATGCTCCACGACTTGCTTCCAGAGTCACCTCACGTGCATAACCATAAGTCATAAGCCATCGGCTCACCAATGCAATGGGCCGCCCAGAGCAAATTTACGGGCACATGTCGGCAAAGCATGCAAAATCTTCGGACTGCACTCGATGAAGCTATGGCAATATCATGAGACACCCAATCTCTGATCAGCTCGGCGTACCTGCGGCAATATGATGAACGTAATCGACCGCCTACCTTCCTCGCTGTGCATGTATTCTGCTCTTTGCTGCTGACAGAAGATGGCATGTCCGTGTATGTTTTGCATTCCAATACTCGTCCTTGCTGATGGATGTCCTTCCGCATGTTTGTCGCGAGGCTAAAAAGGATACTCTGCATGATCCATGACCTGGTCATAACCCGATTGCTTCACCCAGTTGTATCTACCGCTGGTTACATACATCACCTAAATAAAGTGCATAGTTTATGTGTGTGTGTGTGGGTGGGGGTGGAGGAGGGACAGACAGGCAGTCTATTTCGAGCCGAGTTGGCCCAGAGAGTGGAAGCAGGCCAGCACGTCTCCCCGCAGCTCCACGTACTCGCCCTGGAAGAAGTCAAGAGAACTTGCGCGGCGGATCACCCAACCCGTGCCTGCCACATCATGACAAGCACATTGGGTGAAGCGACAAATGCCCCATGAGTGAAACTCGGGATGTGGGGGTGCAGATAATTCGGGGAGTAATCCTTGGATCTTTGAAACCTCCACGCTGAACGATGCATTCGAGGCGTCCTCTTGGGCAATATGCAAGATGTTCTGCACAGCACACAGTTCCCTCCTTGTCGCAAAGTCGCGGGCCTGTTGGACAACCCTGCAGCGTCTCTCTCGAAGGCTGCCAGGGCGAAAGGTACAAGGTGGCTTCTTGCACCTCACCTGTTCCGCACAGTGAGCGGTCTTGACGGTTGAAATACGGTGTACAAGGGAAGGAATCTTTAAGCGAGGACCCCAAGTCCAAGCACTGCTTTGGCAACGGACTTGAAACAGCAAGGCAAAACGCAAAAGACAACGAGAAGAATGAAAACGAAGCAGTCTTGCGAGACAGGCTCAGATTGTAAAGCAGCAGGTTCCGAGCTCAGAGCTCCCGCAAGCAAGTGACGGCAAGCAAACAAGCGATCTGCCTACTGCACGGAAGACAACCCACAGAGCCGGCTTTGCTCCGAGGCCTGGTTTTGCGTAGTAGGGTAGCAAGCCATCTTTCCTGGGGCAGAGACGCATCGGAGACTTCGACGCCCCAAAACAGTTCATTTCCGCTTTAGCTCTGCGTTCCCTCTTCTTTCTGCTTTCTTGCACTTCCAGGCGGCTCACCATCACTGGCTGGGCAGTAGACGCCCTCCAAGAAGGCAGCCCCACCGCCCTTCTTCGACACGGAAAGACAGTTGCTCTGGGCATCACCTTGGCCGTCAGCAAATATCGACAACGTGCTGGAAATCGAGTCCAAAACAACTCAAAACACCAAACATCGCAAAAGCTGGCCCAAGCAGACAGTATCAGACAGTCAAGTCACAATCTCTGATACGAACCCATGCGCTGGAAAACTCTGCGACGCCACAACCGCGGCAGTCAAGTCCCCAGTTGGGTGCAGCAGTCTCGCACGTCCCACCCTGACAGGATATGCATACAAGCTACGGAAGTGAGGCCCTCTCCTGATGCATCCAAGCTTCTTGAGTACACCAGCCTTTGCACATTTTCCCCGCATCACAGAAGCCTCAGTGTCGCAGGGCGCCCCTAAAGAGTGCTTTTTTCGAGTCCAATGTGCTTCCATGGCCTCGTTCCAAGAAAAGCTTGCACGGCTTCTAGGGCAAGTTGCTCTTCGATGCGGTTTAGACGTACCAGCAGCTGCAAGGGGCATCAGGTCTCAAGTCCCAGACAAGTCCCGGACAACAGAATCGAAGCCATGTCACAGGCTTCCGGGCAGGACTCGGAAGCCACGGAGCGCACTGAGAAGCACGAAGCTGCCTGTTGAAAGTGCAATGTTACGCGGGAGCTGCATGGAGCTGCTGCAGGTCTGCAAATGTTGTGCCACCTTGCCCATGGCTATTCCAGACACGGTGACATGTTCCGTCTTCCGCACGAACTCGAAGCTAATCTCACCTGATAGAGCCGCATCTTTGGCTCTGCCAAAAGCTCCCAGCATCTGAGGCTGCTGTTGTCTATTGAAGTCTTTTGTTGTCTCACAATCATATATATGAGACTGTCGAAGACCTAAACCCTGAGGCTTCGACCTGCAGCAGTTGCTCGCGTGAAGCCTCCGTCGACCCCCCACTGACCCCAACTGAAAAACGAAGGCTCAGGAGAAAAAAAAAAAAAAAGAGGCCCCTCAGCACCTGTCTTCGTCGCATCTGCGCTTGGCCAGGCGGTTGTCGAGCCGAAGCTCTCGCCGTTGACGCGCAATGGATTTGTACCGGCAAACTTAGAATACGTCGAGTATTGGTAGATTTTCCAGGCGTACAGCGCACCCGGCTCCAGACCAGAAACCACGGCCATTCCACTGCCGCCAGCATTCCGCAAGTACCCGTTCTGGTAGCCCCGGGTGTGCGTCCAGCCCGACAAGGTGCATTTGTAGCCGTTGCTCAGCGTGTACTGGTAGGTCTTGCTTGTGTCTTTGTCGTCGGTATTTCCACGGTCCTTGCAACACTGAGTCCGCACGTTTAGGAGCTAAGTGCACGAAGAGTTGCATTTGCGAAAGGCGGCGGAGAATTACTGTGTGTTTTTGCCTGTTTTGGGTGGGAGCGGGCATGTCGGGGTCGCGATCCTCGCCGCTGTCGCCATCACTCCCCCCTCGCTGTGGGGTCACGACGTTGCGAGACGTTTAGGCAGCTTTTCACCCTCTACTCAACACTGCTCCTCCCCGCATGTCCCTGTGAGAGTTGATTTGTCTTGTCAGTGCTTATGGCAGCGGTTCTCCTCTCCCCTTCGAGTACTCATCTGCAACTGCTTTCTCCGCGGGGGATCAGCCAGGCTTCGTTAAAGTTATTCTCGGCAAAGCTGGACAAGGGCTCCCCATCCTCCTGGCGAGAGCGGAGAGGAGATCCCAGAAAACTCCACTTAGGCGGTGAGCGAGCCGCTCTCCTCCTCTTGGTAGGCGGAGCAACCGGCCGAAGCCCGGCCTCGATTTCTGTGCCCTGCGCTCGCTTGTTCAAACAGAGAACTGCGCTGAGCACACCGCAGCGACTGCGACACGTTCCACTTCCTGGCGGCATGCGGATGTGCGGCATGCGATTTTGTTCATCTCTCGCTCTTTCTCGGCCTTCCAGCTGCTCAAGCCGTGTCCAGGTTTTCTCGGGACCTGACACATGCTGCCAGCAAGTGTCGTCGCGGATTACCACCTGAGTTGGCAGCTATGGGGAGCGGCAGCTGCATGAACTGACTCAACTTGGCTCTGAGATTCATGCGGTGATGCTGTGCTTGAGAAACTTGGGCAGTGATCCAGGGGGTTGATAGGCAAGCTCCCCGAAAATCGTGCACCTGGACCGTTCACCGTTGTAGCGAAAAAGGATCGAGCTAAGCTCGTCTGACATGGAACAGGCTCTTGTTTGCTTGAACAGGAAATGCTCGGAACAAGCTGCTGGAGTTGAACTTTGCAGCGAGAAGAAGCACTGCATCTCCCCAGGACTCCGATGTCAGGAATGCCTCGGGAGCTTTCACAACGGTGGGACAGAGTGCATCACTCACTGCACGGCAGCACTCGCAGATGTCAGACAGCTGCAACCCCGCCCACACGATGCCTGTGAACTCCCCGCTCAGCATCTCCAGACGAAAAGCGACATGGCCACGAACCAGGACGTCGCCTGCTTCACGGCAAGGACTGAAGTGACATTAGACTTACACGAGGCGATTGCGGCTGCAGCTTGACTTCAGCAGTGTCAACTAGCTGCCTGTCGTCGTGTCGAAGGAAACGTGCTCGCCATCCGCATCGCACGCTGCATAGAAGACCACCGGCGGAGTGAGATGGTCGGAGCCTCAGGTCTCTCCACGCAGCGCCGCCAGGCTTTGTTGACAGTGACGGCACACACAGCACACTCTTAGCGTGCACGCAATTCCTCCACCGAGGCACCGTCTGCAGATGCTACAGCCACCGGAGGCACTGCTCGTCCCGCCACGAGGTCCAAGACAGATCCGACCGACACCTCAGCTTCGGGCAACACAGCCACTTGAAGTCTTGAACAAACAAATTGTCATGATTTGTCGCCCTGAACATCCCCGAGCTGAGTCGCCTTTTTATCCTCCGTAATCACTTGTCGCAGGTCCATGGCCGTCCACTGCCGGGGTACCACGACAGGCAAGGGCAATGTCAGGTCTGCTGTTCCGTTGTACGCGGTGACGGTGCAAAAAGCAGCGTCGGGTGCCTTGGATTCAAGCGGAGCAGTCGAAAGATAAAACTAAAACGAGAAATCGCATCTGATAAGCGCTGCAAAATTGTGAAGCTACGCCTGTCTTGAAAAGTCGGGATGCTCCAATGTTTGATGATGAAAGGGCCCCCGTTTGCTGATCGATCGTCAGCCACGGGGCGTGTGGTGTACATGCCACACGCCAGTTGCTGTAGGTACTGCTGGATGTACGGGGCAAGTAGGGGCTCTCTGCTGGAAAAGGAAGAAGCTTCCCCGCATAGGCGAAGTGCTGCAAACTAATCTTGACCTTGGAGGCTTGTGGAGGCGACAACACTGTCGCCAAGGCTCAGCGACTAACAGAATTCAGCGCCCCAAATCAAACCTGCTGCTCACCTGCGAGTAGCACTGCTGTTCTCAATCAAGCCTTTAGACTCGTCCTGCACAGCTTGGATGACACACTCCACCTCCACAGGTTCCTCTGCCATGGGGGTGCCCGAGATTTCGCCCGTCTCAGCATTGAGCTGCAAACCAATCGAGTGCAAATCACATCCTGAGCCTTCCAGCACGCCAGCCACCCGGTAGCTGGAAGCGGTACGCGGGTGGGGCTGGTCCTTCGCAGCAACGGTACTTCCGACTGCAGCACGGTACCCCTCAAAAAAAGCCGGCATTCGCCAAAGCGTCCTTCATCGTGGCACCCAGAACAAAAGATCGGAGGTTTGCCGAGTATGTGAAGGGAGTGCTTGTTTGCAGACCACCGCCGCACGCACAGCAAGCATCCACAGGGCTGAGTCCTGGAGCCGTGCGACAGAGCGTCCACCAAAGTCAGGAATGGCTACAAGGCGTGCCCCGGTTCACAAACATCAGAACCGAGGCGCCGTTGTATTTGTAGTCTGCCATGGCGACATGAGCTGCAATGTTGGCGTTGAAATCAGACGGGTTTTTACTGCCATCCTGGCAGATCCCCTGGGCCTTGGCGAAAGTCAAATGACCGGTCTCTAAGAAGCCTCGGCCTACCTGCTAAATCTTTCAGATAGCCGGCCACATAGTCTGCGCAAGTGTGGCCAGAAGGATCCACGAAACCTGGAATGTCGCGACAGGCAATGCATCCACCGGGCCCTTTCCGAAATCCTTAGCTCAGATGCGGCCAGCTCGTGCTCGAAAGACCAGTCTGCACTTGCGCATGTGTCCAGCCAAGCTGGCTGCTACAGGTAGGAGACACGGGGTTGAAGGCAAGCGTCCACCAGCACAGCTGATGCAACTGGATCCAGAAAATTCCGCACAGCCCGAACAAGTAGTCCTGCCGCAAACAAGTACACGAATGCAGAAACGCCTCAAACGCCCCGAAGTCCAGCAATAAACAAATCCGAGGAGCCTTGCCGCGTCGCAGCAGCTCAGAACTGCATCACCATTACTCGCAAAATTCACCAAAGTGGCTTGCTCAAGAGAGCCTTAACCCAAAATGTCCGAGTGTAGAAACTAAAAAACTCAAGAAAAGCGAAGGAGTAGCACTCCATGCTGCCCGAGTTGCACGCCGCAGCTTGCTTTCCAAGCGAACTCCAGAGAAGACTAACACTGGCATTGTGGATGCTGTGGTCCTTCAGCATACAGAGCGACACACGCGCACACGCATGCACAGACACACACAGAGACACATTTACATACCTACCTGCATAACGTTCATACATACGGACGTACATGCATACATAATTCACACACACATAGTGTACGTACGTACATATGCACATACCGAATTTACACAATGTACTTATCTATGTTCTAGTGTGTACATACACAAACGCCACGGAACCACATCGAAAAAGGCCAAACAAGAGACTCCTCCTTGCCCACGGTCGGCTTCTTCTTGCGAGCTCGGCACTGCTCGAACAGCGGGCCCCCCAGCTCTGGAGGTGCCAGCTCTTTCACATGCACCTCAGCTCCGGAGCAAAGCGAAAGCACAGCTCCGTGGCTAGCACCGAGCCGAGCCTTGCGGCCTTCTGCACCTTCGATTCCGTCGATGGGTTCTTGCTCGCTTGGACCTGGGATCCGAGGTCGCTCTTGCCGCGTCCCGAAGCTTCTCGCCGAGGCAACTTGACGCAAGTGAACGGCCCCAAGCGAAATACAAAGAAAGTAGCGTGCCAACAAACGACGAAGGAAGCCCTCACTGAATGACTGAATTGTGAGAGGCTTTCTGTCGAAAGGGCTTCAGCTGAAGGATGCTGACGCTGCGAAGCTCGTAGACTCTAAGCATTTGTGCTTCGAGCATGCCGAAGCTACAAATAACAGCCCCGCACTAATCCTTCAAAGCCATCTTCGGTCAGGACCGCACCTGCAACATCCCCATGCTCAAATGGCTCCATCACGTGCCGTGTTCGGACCTTCCACAGGTGCCACAAAGCAATACTTGCGACGGTGAACGGAGCAAGACACACAAGGCGTGCTTCCTCGTGAACCGCAAACGAGACTGGACAGCCTGCAACAAGGCCGCACTGGGAGTCGCATGCGGCTCACCTGGCAACGACAATTCACATTCATGCACTTCTTGGTTCTCATTCTCCTCGCCAAACCTTGCAGCATCTTCGTTGGCTAATCTGAAGCTCCTTGTCCCCGAAGTGTACGGTAGTTCTTGACACCCATGACAGCATTGCCGTGGAGCTCTCGAACTCATCCCATACGCATAGTCACAAGAACTGAAATGTACCTGTCTCGCAAGCACCAGCACTTGCTAGCCTGGAAGATTTGCATGGGACGATGACGCCCCAACAGTAAGCAATATGAATCCCTTGGCGCCATGTCACGTGCAACTCAAAATATGCTGTGATGTGAGACGCTCGACGAAAACTGCTGAAGCTAGGCGGCAATGACACTCTGCATGTCCGCCGTAGCATGCACGCCTCAGTGTAGTCAAAAGGCGTATAAACCGATTTCGTGAGTGGCCGGTTGCTTAAATCGTGATGTTGCTACATACCTCCGCGCCAATGCCGTATGTGACATGTGGGTGAACACTGAAAGACAAGGTGGCCTAAATTCACGAGGTGTGAAATTTCCAGCGAGCGAAAATCGACAGACCTAGAGCTCACAAGGGACAATTGAGCAAGAAATTCGGCACAACCAAATCTTGATATCCAGCCTTTGTCTTGTGCTAAGTCGTTGTAAGGCCTTGCCAGCCAAGTGGCAGAGCAACGGTAGCGCAAAGGGAATGTACGCTGCAAGCCAAAGGACATGAGTGCAACATGATGCACCAGGCTTCAAACAGAACACGACAAGTCCAGGCCACAACCGCCAACTTCACGCACGTGACTGAGCTCCTTTTGCAGAACTACATCGCGTGTTCATCTCGACAACGAGTTGCCGATATTCTGCAAGCAGACACTGCCCAGTGCCTACATCGAACCATCCTCAGTACATGCTTATTTTTGAATGCACTGGCATCTGACATCATCTGACAAAACGGTTCACGACACTCGGGCAACAGAAATCGTGCTTGTCGCTTGTCCGGGTTGTTCGATGTCAATCCACACGAAGGCCAGCACTGTGTGAGCCCGGATTGCACTGGATCGCATTCGACCGCGACCAGCAGCTGAATGATGGCGGGAAACCGAAAAAATGGTCAGCCTGCTGCCGCCAGCACGAGCCGAAGCATCTTTGCCATGGTGCGATCTCTCGCCGTTGGGAAGAACGGGCGCCGGGAGGCAGCGGCGAGCTTTGTGGGGAGGCGGTGCAGGTGCGTGGCAGGCCGGCACGGCCGTCATGTGACCGCCATGGCCAGGCGGCCAACTCGCCGAGGCCGAATCGTGCCGGCGCCGGGCTCTCCCTGCGAGCGGTAGCCGGGCGCCCTGGGGATATGGTGGGATGAAGACACGATCGGGAATGGGTTTGCTCAGCCGCCGCAGGTCCAGGAGTCGGCACATGCAGCAGCCAAAGCTGTGGTGCCTCTCTTGCACGCATCGAGATTGCAGCATCAAGTTCTCACATCGAAGCCTTCGCTGTGTGTGCCCAGGAATCTTTGGACTGCACAAGGAGGCCTGAAGGTTTTTGGCATCTCGCATGATCCTGCTCATGATTGATGTCTGTTGCTCTGGGTGGCCGGCTCTATGATAGCCGACGGGCAGTTCATAGCGATGAGCCCCTTGCCAGTCGTTGGCACGCCGCAGTCTCAGTTGGAGGTGACGACATTCACCCCGCGTAGCTTCGCTCAAGGAAGGTCGTCGATTCTGTCATGGATGCTCACGGTAAATCCTTGAAGTCTGTTTCAGCGAGCGCAGGCGCGAGTCTCAGTTTGCAGGACCCTGGCACGTGGATTTGGAGGTCTTGGCTCAAAATGCGAAAGTGAAATCAAGCTTGCCGTGGCTCAATGCAAAGGCCAAGGCTTTTTGTCGGGTTCGAGGTGTTGCTCTCGGAAGCCGCTCTTCGGCGAAGCGCAGTGCCTCTGTGGGGAAGCTTTGCCCCTTGGACTTCGCATAGCGGCAGAGCCATCTCGAAAGGAGATGTCTCAGAGAAAACCTGGGCCTCGCTTCTCAGGTAGTACTTGGCACGTCCGACACGCACCTGAGAAGGAAGCAGTGCAGCACAGATTCGCCAGCTCCAAGAAAGATTCGGTGCTAGGGCATGTTGGACACGAGGACACCAAGCGCAATGCCACAAAACACTGAACGTTCCAGTAAGTGACTTTTCGTTCTTCCACTGGTGATCTACAGAGGCTGCCTCCCGGTGGCGCAGCTTGACCCTTTTACACAAACAGGGCCTGGCACCAGACAGCCCAGGGCCGTCTCACTTCCAGCAGCTTGCGATGAGGAATCTCGCCCCAAAGTCTCATCCCATTCTCCGTCGCGGGGCTTTTTCGACAACCCTATACTGCTCCCAGGTTGGAGAGGCACGGAGCAGGACTACCCGGCCAAAAAGAAACTGTCTCGCCGTCTTCGCTGGAGCCTGCTTTCACACGGGTCCAGCCATCAGCCAGATGCGCCCAGGCTGGGACATATGGGCAATGACCGACAGGTGCACTCGCAGCACGCGGCTGCAAAGCGGCTAGCATTGGAAGATCCGAGAAGGAAAACCACCAAGCCTTTCTGTAAGTACTGCACATGTCCAGATCTGCGACGTCATCAAGAGCTGTGAAGGTCTTGATGCGACCTGCAGCGTGCCATCAACCAATCAACGCTTTGTCCCTGTACCAGACGGTTCACTCACTGACTCACAGATACTGCAGCCCGTGCCGTCGTCGTCATGCGAGTTTCCAAGAACACCAACTTGATGCCTCGACAAGCAGGATGGATAAACAGACATGTCGGAAAACCGAGTTCTTGGATTCCCGACTCCAAGGTGTACTGCATGTAGACAATCACCGCGAACGACAGTATCAGAACCTCGCACTCGTATGACTCCTACCAGGTTCTATCATTCTATTTTAGGCACGGGGGCGAGTCTGAGAGCCGAGCACATGTGCCCACAGCATTGGGCACAAAGTCGGAGGGGTAGACCCACAAGAGGCAGCACGATGATCCGAAATATGCCACAATGCTGACGACAAAAGCGTAGTAGATGGGCCTGCGCGGGGTCCCCCCACATGGCACCCTTCAAGCACTGAAGCAGCGAGAAGGCGACTGGGGCCAGGGCATTTGTTCTTCTTTGAGGAGAGCTATGGTGTCGTGGAATGACTTCATTCCGTCGGGCCCGCGGAGGGCATTTCCTGCTGTTTTGGAACTTTGCTCAACTCCAACTCTGGCAGCTCGGCACGGCAACTTCGAAATGCTCGAATCCTGGGCCCCAGGTGCAGACCAGAACGGTCCAGGTCACGATGCATAGGTCCAAGCCTTGCAAGAGTCTCAAGCCGTACACCGTTTGCTTCAGATTTGTACAAAGAGCTCTGTAAGACTCGTGCTAAGACAGATGGCCGTGAATCCCAAGTAGGCGCACTCCAGAGCCGGATGCGTACCTTTCAACACTCAAGAGAGGACACAAGAGGTCTCAGAGGACCTCAACACACGCGTACTAAAACAAACTCTTCTCGGCGTCCTTGTGGAATTTCTCGCGTCAACTCGGCCAAAGCGAAACCCGCCATGATGACTGTTGTGCCTTTGCGTCTGGTCCGATCCCCGCACAGCTTTCACCTCCGGCCTCCCGGCCCCGACCTCCCCATATCCAGTAGTTGTTCGTGTAGAAGTCCAGCTCCTGATTAGTATCGTGCTTCTTGCTTCTGCTGACAACAGGGTTTTTTCTCCGCCTTCTGCCGCACGGCTGCTTGCTCCAAGGTCACCTCTCGGCTCAGAGGCTTGGACGAGGCTCGGGGCTCCGAGAGCGACACGTTCACGCGTCCACACACTTGCAAACGGTCTGCGATTGAAAGTGCGACACAGCCTCGCATATCGGCCCTGAGCTTCGCCCGTCTTGCGCCCAGCACCCAGAACGCGAGACACGGCGATGCTCGAAGGATCTGTGATGTCTCTTTTGCTGATCGGGCGCTTTCCTGCGTTTGGAGTCCCTTGCAGGGCACGACGACGAGCACCCGCTGCGTTGTGTAAGTTGAACCAGGGGTAATTACCAGCCCAGCACAGCGTGTCGGTGCAGCAGGGCTCTGGACAACTCTTACATCTGGGGCTCGAACGCTTGAGAGTACACTGTTCTTGTGGACGGTCAGCATGCTTGGCGCGCCGGCAGCATTGCACCCCCACTCCGCTCGTGATGACGGTTTGGACTGTAGCGTTGCTGAAAAGGGCCCGGGTATGCCTTCCCTGACACCACTACGAAGGTCGAATCTTCATGCACATGTGGTTGCCAGCACCTTGATAGCGCAGTCATGCCCCGGATTTGACCCGTACAAGCACAGCAGATGAGCGCCGCTGGCTTGATGCATCTTGTGGCCCGGCTCAGAGAGATGCTCGTAATTGCCAGGCCCAACTCGCCTGAATTATGCCTCACACGAACCCACAGCCAGGGAGGCTTGCATATCTTCGCTTCGTCTGTACAAACCGCACTACCGGCATGTCACCGGCAGAGCGAATTCACGCGAGCAACACTCAATAACGGCGATGCAAGGAGACATGACTTGCCCTCAGCTTCCTCGCGCTTTCTTTCGAGGTGCCTCTCTGACACCTCTGCGAGAACGATCCTTTTTGCTGATGGATTGTGCATGTGCTAACAAAAAATGGCAACCGCCTGTCTTCTTCCGCTTTTGGCGCAGCTCTGTGGCCATTACCTACTGCAAGCAGTTCGGATGCATCCATGCCACATCCTTGTCCTAGGAGCATGTGGAAAGCAACAAAGTGCCTCCAAGCGATCCAGAATCGCCTCGTGGAGCACCTGATTGCGACTCCGACGCTCGACCCTTCTCCGTCAGCTTACAGAAACTGTCTAGGCTTGGACTTCGGCGTCCCCACCCCCATCTCAGTCCCCTTTCCCCTCGCCCCTTGCTGACAATAGCCTGCCGTGTTGAAACCAGAGTCTTCTTCAGTTCTCCACACGTTTCGGCGTGGGGGAGCTGTCGGCCTCCTTGAAATGCCTCTACCCCATACCAGTTGCCGTCAGAAGCCAACAGTGAACCGTCTCAAGGGACTCGTGCTCTTGGTGTGAACATCTACGGCTTCCAGGAGTTCTGCCACTGCGAAAGTCGGCACTTGCAATGCTCCTCAGGTGCCGGCTTGCCCCAGGAATCCCGTCTTCCGGTCACACTGTGGTCGGTCTTGGTTGGCTGCAGCACCTCCACAAAACGTTGTCCAACAGGCCAACGTCTGCACAATCCAGGTGCGCCTTGCACAAGGGATTGCACGAGGGAGTCGATGAAGCCGTCCTTGCAGAGGGCAGAGCAAAGCAAACTAGCCCTGAACGGAGATGCCGCAGAGTCTCTGCCGGTCCTCGATTAACTCAAGCATATAGAGAGACCAGCGCCGAGTTGGAGGACGGGAGAAATAGATGTCTTCGGACACCTCCAAACGTCTGATACTTTCTGTGGTCCACTCAGGGCAGGTCCCGCCTCCGGACTTTCTCTGCCTTTGGCAGGAAAGGTAGTGTCCTTGAACACGATCACCTGGCTGCACAGCCGTTGCTTGCGTTGCTTGGATATTGCTTGGCTTCCTTGGGTTGCTCCTGCCTGGAGCTGCAGAGCATCCTCAGGCTCCTCCCTTGGATCCCAGCCTTGCAGCCCAGGAAACCCAGCCCATCAAGACCCCAAGAGCCCAGTCCCCCCATGCCGGACCCTCGCCTAGACGCGCATAGGCCTGCTGCCAGGGCCCATCCTTCCACTGATACGCGACGAAGGGCAGCAGCCTGCGAAAGAAGGCAACGAGGTTCTCCTTTGAAAAAAAAGAGGGGCCCTGTTCCGCGCCGGACCTTCGGAGCCTGTCTGCGTCCATCAGCTTCGCCAGCCTCGGCAGCTCTCGGAAGCTCTCGGAAGCTCTGTGGATCCAGACTCGGTTCCAGGTGTCCGACACGGGCGCTGCCTTCAGGCCGGACTCCAGCCAGACCTCGCAAAGCTCCGACATGTTTGGGCTGAAGTAGCGGCCTTTTTTAAGTCCGGGCCCTGCGCCGGTCTCTCCCAGAAGAGCTGCACCAGCCTCTCCAGGAACGCGCCATCCTGGCCTGGGCTGAGGCGGCGCGGCGGTCTCGTGGGGCCTTTTGCCCGTTTCCGAGAGCCGCGCGGCAGTAGATCTCGCCAGCGTGCTCTGCAGCCTGCAATCCCCAAACGCCGAGATGCGGCGATTTTAGCCAGCGGCACGCGGGCCTCCTTGGCACCCATCTTCGGCTGCATCGGTATTGGGGCAGTTGAGTTAAACCTTACCATGGCCACGATAAGAAGCGCCTGGAACTTTGACGGAAGGCCTGCCTCACGCACTTCATTGACCAGAACTGACCACATTCCTCGAGCTCCTCGCATAGTGGAGTCTGTTCAGCGATTCGGAGTCTTCATGAGCCTTGTGGCACTCGAGCTGATCAGGATGAACGGCTTCTGCTTCCGGTTGACTTTCCGGAAGCTCTACAGGTGTGGAAGCAGGAGGGTCCTCCACCAAAGCGGAGATGCAAAGCGCGCCCGACAACGCGTCAAGGCACTGTCGGTCCTCTGCCTCCTGAGCCTCAAGCGGAGCCTCCTCACCTACAGCGACACCGGCTGGTGCTTCTCGCAAAACCGGGCCCTTGGAAGACCTGGTGTGCTCGAGGTTCGGCTCCTGCTCCACTGCAACGCTTGCTCCTGGGAGACAGGCACTTGTGGGCCGGAACAGCTCGCTTTCTCCCGTGGCGAGCGGCAGCAGACGCATGCAGAGACTCCTGCAGCTTGGGGAGGCGGAGCTCCGAAGCGAGATGCAAAATGTCCGCGCACACCTGCCGGGCCGTGCTGCTTCTCGACTCTCGGCCCGGCCCGCAAGGCATGCCCTACTAACCGGCTAACCTGCAGGGCATGCAAACTCTCACGGAGACCGCTAGCTGGACCGAAGCTGCCTACAGCCCGAAGGCACGATTAAATTTGTTTGAAGGAATCAATACATGCGCATCTGCACATATGCATATGAGCATGTAGACTTGTTTTCGCGCAGTCCATCAGTCAATCTATCGATTGACTCGTCTATCGATCTCTCCATCCACCTCTGTCTGTAGGCCTGCATGTCTGCCTTTCCATGTCTTGTACTATCTCTCTATCTATCTATCTATCTATCTATCTATCTATCTATATAATATGCATGAATCTATGCAGATGCAGGTACATAGATAGATCGAAAATCAGACAGAGTGCCGTGCATACCTGCGCTGGAGCCCGCCTCCTCTGAGACTTGATGCTTCGTCCAGGTTGGGCTCCCATAGAGGAAGTCTACCAGAACGCGGATGGCCTCCAAGGTCACAACGCCAAGGCTCCAAGTGGCCCAGCCTTGCTGGATATGTCACTTCGGGGGGCCTCGGCGTGCTTGATGCCGCGCATTTCCAGCTCGAAGGTGTTGCAAGGCATCTGCAGAGCTTAGCAGAGCAGGGCGACTTCGGCCGCTGCCCCCGGCCTTGGCGGAGCTGTCGCAGAGCTGCTTTGCACCGTCTAAGATCAGCCTGAAAAGCAGTGAAACAGAGGAAGTTATGCAAAGCGCAGCAGCGCAGAAACGGTATCTCCTACTCCTACTGCTCCACGCCACCTCTTCAGAGCGGAAGAAGATGCTGCCAAAACGGCCTTATCCGAAAGATTCGCTTGCAAGCGTCATCTGCGCCATTGGCGGTAAGGACATGCATGCGATGCGAGAAAACAGTACAGAAGATGCATCCAGTAACCGCCCAAAAAGAAGGCACCTGATGTGCCGGGATGTGAATGTCGCCCACGGTGAGCAGAATATCGCACAGCAAGCCCTTGCCACAATGATGCGAAGCTGGGACTCGACACGTGCACTTCCAACTCCTCGCCCATCCCCACCAGAGCGGAACGCCTTCGCTTGCAAGCCTTGCAGGCCGAGAGCCAGGGACGCCTTCCGGAGCCGCAGCACGCAGAGTGCTCTTAGCTTTGCTGACTTCTCTAGGTGTCTGCTGGCCTCGGAGGCCACCTCCAGCGCCTCCGAGAGCTGCGAGGCCTTCGCTTCCCGTGCACCCCACGACGCCGCGTTGTCCGGAGACGTGCCACAGCTCATGTCTGGAAGATCTATAGAGACTCCGAAGCAAGACTCGCTGATCAAGGACATGTCGAAGCAACGCTAGGCAAAACCAGACCATGGCAACACACCAAGACCTAAAACAAACCATGTATGGTATGGTATCGCTGCCCTGGGCGTGGCCTCTGGAAGGCTTCAGGCTGCCCTGTCTCCACACGACCAAACGACTTCCGCCTCGCCGCCCTCGGCTCCGCCCTCGCCGTACAACCGGTCCAGGAGTGCCAAGGCCTCTTCAGGCGACCAGCGCTTGCAGGCAGCATTGATTCAAATTGAGATAAAGGAGATGAAGACGATTTGAAACGGATGACCGGCTTGAGCGGCGTCCTTGCAAAGTCGCGAATGTTCAAGCACCCTTACTGACCATGCTGGTCAAAGCAGAATGCCGTCTCAATGCCTTTGGAACAGATCCGCTGCACCCAAAGCGCGACAAAAATTCAATAAAGGCAAGGAACTCTTGGAGGACAAACTTGCCGTAAGCTGAGAAACAGTTTGAAGCGAAGCCCGGAACCGTGAGCCTGGCAAGAAGCTGCCCGAAACTCCAACACCGTGACCTGCTGGGTGTCAAACCGGGGACCGGAAACCGGCAAAGACAGCACAGTGAAGAGGCGCTGTGAAACCCGAGACCTGAAGTTCAAGAGTTGCTGGTGTCAACTCGGAAAACCCGAACGGAAATGCTGGGCTTGAAGACCGAAACCCAACAACACCAAGATGGGAAACCGAAACCTCAATTTACGGAGGAGCGAATTGTGAAACCCGAAAATTAGCATCAAACAAGGCAAGCTCGGGCACTAGGCCCCTAAACCCAGCAAGAAGCCGATGCTGCGCGTGAAGACCGAAACCCAACCATCGCAGATGCTGGTGTGAAACTCATTACCATCACCACCAGCATCTCCACACCATCATCATCATCATCATCATCAGCATCATCATCATCAACGTCATCATAATCATCACCGTCGTGGTCATTATCACTGTCTTTGGCGTAACGCCCCAAATCGGCAGATGGCAGTGAACAAGGAAACCCGAAAATCGAACATGTTGGGCACCCCTAAAAGAGAAAATGGCCGCGAAACCAGAAATCCTACAAGTCTGAAACACGGAAATGTGAGGCTTGAAATGACCAAACCCCAACCATAAAGAGGCTGAAGGAAAGATGCTGGCCGTGAAAAACCGAAACCATAGAAGACCAGAGAAGGAAACGGATGGAAACGGGACGGCCGAAGCCTGGAGATGGAAACCCGAAACCCAGAAGTGTGGCCGACGTGTTCCTTGTTGGGACGCGCACCAAAAGGAAGATGTTATAGGCCCGATGGTTGGGAATATGAAGTAGGAACATGCTGGGCTTGAAGCTCAGAGCCCCAAATCAACGACAGGTTCGGCTGGAATCCCGAAGCCCGAAGGTAAGAGGATGTTGGACGTGAACTCGGAAACCCTAAGCACAGAGATGTTGAGCAGGGAAACTGTAGCGGGTGGGTGTGAACCCGATGCTCAAAACTCAAGACATCTTGGGTGCAAAATCTGAAACTTCAAAGTCGGGACACATTTGGCATTAAGCCCAAAACGCAGCAGCAACCGGAGATTGAGGCTCTCTTGGGCTGTGAAACCCGAAACTGTAAACTCAGGAGCTGTTCGGCACGAATCCTGCGACCTGAAAGCCATAAAATGTTGAGCGTGAAACCCGAGACTTTCGCAACACACGACACCCAAGAGTACATGGTCGCGGGCCATCAAGCAAGGAAGCCTGAAGCCCGAAATCTTAACTAAAAATAAAGATGCACCCCGAGACCCTAAGGCAGATGTGGTGCACGATGCCCTAAACCCTAAACTCAAGAATGTTGGGCGCGGAGAGCAAAACTCTCAGGTAGGAGTAAGGGGATGTTGGCCCCGAAGCCCGAAGCTTGAAACTCCAAAGTGAGGAGCAATGTTGGGGATCAAACATGGACCGGAAGGCATGATTTGGGTGCGAAACCTGCGCCCAAGCAAGAAGATGACGTTCGGCACGAAGCCCGAAACCCGGAAGCCAGGAGATGCGGGTCGTAAACCGTAAAACACAGAAGATGCTGTGTGTGACGCTCGAAACCCTGACGACAGAAGGGAATGTCTGAAGTCCGAAACCCTATATTGCCTGAAGTATGACGGGCATGCGATCCTCAAAGAAACGACGAACAACTCAGTGTAGAGCAGTATGTGCACGGCCAGAAAAATTTGCATGGTGAACTGAATGCATTGGGACCCCTCTCACTTTGTTTGGATTTCGCGCAGCAGACGCCAGAAAACACGTTTGTGGATGCCAGCCTTTTGGCCAATCGGGACTCACACAAGGGATGAGCATTCCTCGCGCAGGCCTTGACTCCAAAAGCCGGTCGATGCAAAAAAGCGTCACGTCTTTACCGCGGGCTCGGAGAGCGCAAGGGTGATTTTTTGTCCATATCACGTACAAGCGTGATCACAGCAATTCACAGCAGCACCCCTGTTCTGCTTGTAGCAATGCGCGATCATCATGACCACTGCTTTCGGCAGCATGTGGAGATGTGGCAGAGACCTGATTGACCTGATCGCTGGTTTTAAGACTAACGTAAGGAGATGTTGCACACGAAGCCTAAAAGCTTTTTGGAGCAAGGAAACGTAAGGCGTCAAGCGCGAAAGCCTGGGGTAAGGAGATGTTGGGCATGATGCCCGAAACTACAGCCATGCAAATGTAGGCGAGAGGAGGGATTGGGTGTGAAGCCAAACAAACCCCTAAAGTGTTAAGATGTTGGTTGCGCAGCCCGAAACCCTAAAGTAAGCAAATCTTGGCTCCGACGCCTGAAACCTTCGAAGGAGGAGATGTCGGCGGTGAAGCACCGCAAAATTTCTGGAGTAAGAACATGCAGGGTGAGAGTGCACATGGGACCCGAAGCCCTGATAAAATTTCTGGAAAAGACAAACGAAAACGGTGGAAGCTCGGGAAAGGCGTAGGCGGCCGAGGCCCCGAAGCAAAAGAAACGAAACTGATGAAGAAAGCATATTTGCAGTGGCTCAGAGTCCTGCCGCTGTCCGGGAACCAGCGTGGGACACAACATCGGCCAGAGATGTTCGAAGAGGGAGAGAATTGGAGCCACGGCAGGGAGAGTCTCTGGCTCTGGGTGTGAAGGCCGAGAGACCCTGCGGTTTTGGGTAGATTTTGGGGCCTTGCAATCGTTCGGGTGTTCCTGAACAGATGCAGCCGGAATGTGAGATGTTGTGCATGAAACCCGACACCTGACGTCTCAACGCAAGGAGATTTTGGGAATGTTGCGAACCAGCTCAGGGTTCAAGGTTCAGGGAAAGCGGTGCCGACAATGTCACAAGCAAATCACATCAAATAAAACGCACATGACCCAAAAATTAAAGCTGCGACCTTCCACCTGAGAATGCGAGGCCCCCGACATAAACCGAAGGAGAAGCTTGTTCGCATTTAAAGTCGTCTGTTTTCTTTGCAAATAAAAGCCAAACGAGGGCCTGCGCTCGCTAATTGTTTACAGGAGCTGCTTCATTTGCGCCCTCTCAGGTCCTCGGCACCAAGGAGGCAACGGTGCTGGGGGGGTTGCGGGTAAGGTCTGCGACCACGATTGCAGAGCAGAAAAGAGAGCAAACATGATGTGAACAGGAAAACACACAGAAACGCCAGACTGCCCTCAACCTTTGAGTGCAGGCCTCGCAACAAGCCTCTTGCGCTGCCATGTCTGCACTGAGACGGATCTCCAAAGGCTGCGGGGGCCTGGGCAAACTCATGCCTTCAAAAGTCAGACACACCGATGCCAGGGGAATGTACGTGAACAAACGGAGATTTCAAATCTTGGGCATCAATCGAAAGATCCGTCCAGAGTATTCCCGAGGTGAGGACAAGGACAGCTCCGGAGCTGGAGAGCCCTTCGAGGCGTCATATGATTTTCCTGAGTCCCTCTCGCTGCCGCGGGACCGTGCCTGGTCCTTACTCTGGGACAGGATGTGGTCATGGAGCATCTTGCTTCTGGATGCCAAGACTACCTGCGGGGGCGCTGCTCCAAAGCCATCTTGTGTTACAGGTGCCGAATTCATGCGCTACCTGGTGCGCAAAGTACTGCTCATTGCCAGCCGAGATGGCGATGTCGCAGAAGAGGCCCTGTCAAGGTAGGCAGGCAAGGGAACCTGCTTGAAAGACTTCCTTCTCGCTCGCATCCGCTCGCATCCGCTCACAAAAGCTTGGACCTGAGTCTGGAGGGCTCGCAGTGCCGACGCCAAGCGAACGCCACCGGCCTGGGCCAAACAGAGACTCCCACAGATTCGACCCAAGGACCCAAGGGCTGTGGTTGTCTCGCCTGAGCTTCGAAATCTGGATCCTCTGGTCCCATGGCTGAGCTAACGTCCCTGCGCGGGCTGCTGAGTCCCTAAACGGACGAGACCAAGCTCCACCTCAAAGCTGTCTCCAAAGACCCACTGGCCACTTGCGCAACTCCTTCTCCCAAACGGCTTGTGGCATGAAGATGTGACTCATTTCCTTGCGCAGTGTCTTGCAGCAATGAGCAGCTGCACGAACGATGCGGCAATGCTTCCAGGGGATGGCAGTAGGGCGATTCCGAGAAGCAGGAGGCTTGGCAGGCTTGGCTTTGGCTCAGGCCCACGAACGCGCTTCGTGGCACGGCGGCTTGCTACTTGCTAGTGCAAGCCAAGCTTCTGTACAGGACGGAAGACTGGTGTCGTGTCGGTATGCTCTCGTCTCGAAACAGACCTGTGAAACTGGCACCGCTGTGCCAGGGCCTCGCCTCTCAAGGCCTTGGCGAAAGCACCGAGGTCTTCGGCGGCCAGGGCCCTCATTGGTCCTCCGCCCTCTCGCCTACTCCAGCTCAGGCCTCACGAGGCACGAAAGAGACGAGCTGCAAGAGCAGAGGCGGCTCTGCCGCTAAGCATGCCGGTCAGGCTGCCCATCTTGCACCTGCAGACGCACTGCACTGTCACGTGGTTCCAAAGAGCTTGCGGGAAGGGTGCCTCCAGGTTTGCGTCAGCTTCCACTGGCATCCAGGAGATGGTCTTCTTGTCATCCATCCAACTGAGGCGCGGGTCCCGCGCGTTCGCGCGCCAGTCTCCCCCAACAGTTTATTCCACACGAGATCCAGCCTGAAGTCGATCTGATACAGAGTCCCTGGTGGGACGCCGTCCTTCCGGCCGTCGATGAAGAAGTTCAGTCCCCTCCCTGCCTCAGCTAGGGCGTGCAACCTACGATATGTTCCGCTGCTTTCGTGCCCCAGCAATGCATCCTTGCATCACCAAGTCTTTCGAGAGATCGGCGTAGTCCGGACCGACGATCTGCTCGGTACTGTCAGCCTTCTTGACGAGGGGATGAATCACCTCACATGAAAATCAGCACAAGCATCCATGAGGCACAGCCGATGACAAGCGTGCTGTAACTGGCCTCCAGGTTGTCTTGCGTACATGACAACTGAAACTCTTCGCACAGGCTTTCGCCGAGTTCGATTGTGCAGGTGTATTTGCCATACCTCGAAATTCTGCCGCAAGCCCAAAAAAACTCAGTCTTCCTCACTTCGACTGGCATCCAGCCTCCCTCCATCCATTGCCTGCATGCTCGAAAGATCTAGCACCACACCACAACTGCAATGAGAAAGCAGAATCATCCCGGCTGTGTTCTTGGGTCATTTCAGCTTCCATCTCAGGCTGGCATGTTGCTTCATGTCTGGGGAATCTGGATGTCTGCAGCCCGGATAGTGGACGTAGTTGTCCGTGCCCGGCTGAGCTTGTTTGCCGCCCTGCTCACTATCCCCCCTTCGGACCTTGTAGGTCGCGAATTTGTCCCAAGAACCGCTGATGTACAGCGTCTGCCTGCACATGCGGAGTGGCTTCAGACTGCCCAGGCTTTCTTCAGCGGCCACACCCGATGTGCAAGGCCCTCGGAAGAGACGGCGTCGGCAAGTTGGCCTCAAAAAGACTGTGTGCCTACAGCGGAGGGGTGTGGAAGCCGGCCCTTCCCGGGGCCCAGGCCTTCATGGCCGCCTTGTGCCCCTTCGTCGCGTAGCCGTAGACGTCCGCTCGTGAGTTGGTGCCGCCGAAGCCAAAGGAACTTAGCCGCGCGCCAGCGCTGCGCAGCAGGGCCGCCGCACCCAGGTGGCTGAGGCTCGGGCGAGACGCCACAGTACAGACTGCTGAGGCCCACGTCAATGTCCTGAAAGCTGACTCGAATCTCGCTCAAAGGACGAGGGTTTTTCTCGCCCAGATAAAGACCTCCGTGTCGAAGTAGACGGGGTACCCTTCGATCGTCAAGTGCCTTTGGCTTGCCGGCTAGGGAGACGATCATCTGCTCTTCGGCTTGACGAGTGCCCGGCGGGTTGATGATGTTGAAATGACAGTTCGGCGGTGCCGTGCCGAAGTTGATCATCATGATGCATTTCGTCAGACCGGCGATTCCGGCACCAGCCTTCCCATGTCTTCAGCCAATAAATTTATTGCAAGGATCAGCACTTGGCCCAAGCCAAGAGGGCGCCTCCAAATGGGCCACATTGCTCTTCGCACTGGTCTTCAGGATTGGGACCTTGCGCTCATGCCTTGGGGTGTCATTTCAAGACTCTCGAGAAAAAGCCGCTTGCCGTGCTGAGTTCAAGACATCACTGCCATAAGCGCGCCGACTTCAATGGGATCTCCGAGAGCAGTCCCGGTCCCGTGGCACTCGGCTATGGACACCTGCGCAGCGATGAAAAGAATGCAATTTGAGGTCCTCGGTGTGCTGGAGTATTAAACTGCCGCCGATGCCAGGGACGCTGCAGTGTTTGGATTGATGCCAGCGAACCGCATTGACTTCTTGATCACTGCCTGGCACATAGAACTTGTGCGTCCGACTGCGATCTGCGCAACCATGGCCTGCTGCGCTGGACCGTTGGGAGCCGTCAAGCTTGCACTTCTGCCGTCCTGAAGATACTCGTTGTAGCAAGGTGTCCCAGTCAATGGTACTCAAACATGCCCCTTGACACGTGTCCTGGTTGGTTGCTGTGCCGATGAGTGCCTTGAACTCCACCGGTGCAGGATGGCTACTAAGGTCGCCACAAGCCGGACATGGCCTAACGATGTAGAAGGGTCTAGATTCCAGCGCATAGCGTCTTGGGCGAGTGCACAAACACGCTCTTCTTCATCGCGCTTGTCGCCCTGGTACAGCTTCACGAAAACGCTTCCGCAACCTCGCCGGCTTCCGGAAACAACAGACCCTAATTTTCTGAACGCGAATGCCTGGCCTTCACCGCGCTGGTAGCCATCGGCACTGCGGTTGAAGGTGAAGCTGCGGCCTGACAGGAATCGGGTCCGGGAGGTCAGCTTGTTCCTACTCTTCCATTGCCCTTCCACATACTTTGAGTCGCCTTGATGCGAAAGCATCGTGGCCATGCAGTTGCCTTCCGGCTGTCCCAGCATACCATGTTGACAGATGGCTTGTCAGGCAGCCACTGGGAGCCTATGAAGGATCCAGGTCCCAGCAGGGTGTTTACACCCACCTGAGATGCTGAATGTCTTGCACAATGCACTGCACTTCACTGCGGTAGGAGCCGAGCAATCAGTGCTTCAGCATTGTCAGGCTTGGGTGGGTCCGAGTCGAACATGCACCTCAGGAACGTTCGTTGACTTCCCTGGTCGAGGCGCATCGCTTGGGTGTCGGCAAATGTGCGGCGTTCATCGCGACCAAGGAGGCCGAGCACGCGGTGTCCTTCCACGTCTGTGAATTCCAAGAGCTTCGCTTCGATGGATCCGAGGACCGCACATAAGAGGAAACTGGCCCGCGGATATCAAATTGGTGGGCAATGCGTGCAGCTGTGGTTGCACAGCTCATGCTCAGGCCTGGCTCGGACGACATTCACTTTCCACTGAAGGCCACCGGCCACCTCGGTGCCTTTTCTTGCTGAGGCTTCGGCCCATCATTGTGGGGCATATGTCAGGACAAAACCTGATAAGCACACGACTCAGGACCAGCATGCTTTTCACTTACTGGTGCTGGCCTTGCCCACTCCGTCTGAAAGCTGTGCCAGTCGGGCCCTACCTGAAAGATGCACGGTGCTCCTTTGCAATTTATGTGTTGGAATCCAGCACTGAGCGCCGTGCATCACCAAACCAAAGACCCATGCGCCGGCCCTTCAGGCCTCGATGAAGCAACAGGAACAATACCGAAACGTTGCGAACAGCGAACGAGCGAGCGGGCTGTTCTTGTTGAAGCCCGCAGCAACCAAGCACTCGTAGCCGACCTCCCCAAAGCACCAATGATAAAAAAAGCCTCCAGGTTCTTTACGACGACCGCACCTCCATGGACATCTTCTGGCCTGGAATCATTGACCTGCGCTGGCCGGCATGGCGGCATCACTGCAATCCCCCCATGCTGCTCCAAGTGTCAAGCCGGGCTTCCGTGTCATCGATGCCGAAAAAGACTGGCTCTTTCTATCACTGTCAATATCACCATCATTATCACTTGTACTGGTACAAGTACTAGTACCAGTGCTAGTACTGTTACTGTTACTTGTACTGTTACTGTTACTGTTACTGTTACTACTACTACTACTACTACTACTACTACTACTACTACTACTACTACTACTACTACGACGGCTACGGCTACGGCTACGGCTACGGCTACGGCTACGGCTACGGCTACGGCTACGGCTACTACTC